GAAAGCTAAAAAAATAAACCTGTCGAAAAACTAGTACAGAATTTATCCATTTCAATGTTTCAATCAGACAAAAGGCACAAGACAGGGGTCAGGGGGAGGGTGGAAAGTATTTGTCTTAAAGGGAAGAAGTTTTATAAAATTAAACCTGAATATTAACCTTATGACATGAATTTGGAAGAATGAAATATTAATTTAAAATAGGAATAAATAGGGACCTAAAAATAAATTTAAAATATATAGATAAAAGGATGTAAGGGATTAATGAAAAGAGAGTTGGGGAGATATTAAAGTAGGGGAAGTTTATAAATTATAATTAATATAGTGTAAAGAGGTTATAGAAGGGGGAAATTAAATATAGAAATTAGAATTAGTTATACTGTCAACATTTGAAAAGTTAGAGGGGTGTGAATATTGTGGAAATATGGTAGCTAATTATATTTAAATATAAGATTTTTTTATAATCTATTTGTTTATAATCCATTTTTACCAAGATATTTATTATTATTTTATATTCATAAGTAAATGGACTGCTCTGCAATCTTAATAGTAGGTTATAAATATTAATATTAAAATTTTGTAATAGTTTTCAATTTGTGTCTGATGATTGTACCAGTCCCTTCACTTTTTGCTGGAACTGAAACCTAAACTAAAGACTAACGTCATCTTGTCTTCAAATGGACAATAATATTTAGCTGACTCTAAAGTCATTACTGCCAGATATTTTCAAAATAAATAATAAAATTTCAATAGTTTTTCCTGAAGCATTATTCTAAATATGTACTGTCAAAATGAATATATTTTTTCCTAAATTAAATCAAAAATAGACTACCAGTTTTAAAAAAATTTACCAAAACTCAGAATTATCCAATTTAAATGAAATTTTCAGCACTTACTCATTAATGAATGAATTGTATACGGAATATGTTACTTTATTAGAAAATTGTGGAAATATTGGGTGTCAGTTTGCCCATCCATTTTGATACATTGTAAATACTTTTAAATTTAGCAGGTGATGACAAGTATTTTTTATGATTTTATAAAGAAAAATCCCTGAAGATATTATTTCAGTAAAAACTCTTTGAAATATCAAATCAGAACATTTTAAAAAATTGTCCTGAAACTTTACAAACTTAATTCAATAAAACTCAAAAAAATAATGATTATTCGTGATTGCATAAAACAGATTACTTTCATATTTGTCTGGGAAAAAAAATCTACACTGAATATTTGTTTTTGAAAAATTTACTTGCAATTTTTTATTGCAATTTTGAAATTCTTCTGGTTGCTGATAACAAAAGAGATTTTTTGTTTTTTTCTATTAAATAAACATATATTTGAAAAGTCGAAAAATGTAATGTTTGATTACATTTTTGCATCAGAAATACCTTTAAAATAAATTTATTTTATTTATTATTTTAAAAATGTATCTTTGTATGGAAGATCAAATAGGAAAATTCTGAATCACCTTCTTGGGAGATCGATATTGAGTTTTATCAGTTTTCCACTTTTTTTAGCACTTCCTTTTGTTTAATAAATTTAAAAATCAGAATAATTATAAAAACAATGTGTGCAATTAAATATTTTATGGCATGAAACAGATAAGAAAATAATAAAAATAAAGGCAATAAATTAAACCCAGAAGTATCATAACTAGTTCTTAATTAATTTCTCTATTGTACTTCTAATATAGAATAAAATAAAATTCATTCTAAGTTTCATAAGAATATAGAATAAAAATTATATTCTTTATGGTTAATGATATTTTATTTTTTAAAACATTACCAAATTTCTTCATTATTGCAAATCTGGTGTTCCGTATTTCTTTTTAATTAAAAAAAAAAAGAAGCTCTTTTCGCGCACTTCCGTGATAGCACTTAAATGTTTTTTTTCATATTTTAAGCAAAATGTAAGCATCTCTTTTACAAAATCTAGTTAATTCTTATTTACTAATTTACATTACATCTTGGAGAAAAATACTGTATTATTAAATTTTAAGAGATTTCAAAATTTGTTTATATTTTTCCTCAATAATGACGGTTTGTTTGAGTGTTGACTGTTGAGTGATCGTGAGAATTTTTTAGAAATGTCTAAAACTTTATTTACATACAGAAATTTACTTTTCTTTCATACGGATTGCCTTTTTTTTAATCTTTTTTTTTTTTAACTTTAACTAGCTATTCTTTTAAAAAATACAACCAAATTTTTAATAAAATAAGAATTATTTTTTTAAATTATTTTAAAAGTGAAAGTTTTCTTTTTCTTTTAGCTCAAATTTTATTAGTACGTAGTTCTAAAAAATCTTATACACGGAAAAAGTCTGTAGGATTCATTCCCCAAAATAAGTGTCCGGCTTTTTGCTAGAATGCCAAATTTTCAGTATGGTTACGGGACCGTATTTTTTTTTCTACCAACGATCGGTTTTCTCCGTCGAGATACAAAGCTGCTTCCATTCAGTGATTTTAAAATCATGTACACTTTGTTTTATTATGATTCTACAATTATTGTTGTTTTTTTTTTTTTTTTTTTTTTCCTCAAGGAATCAAAATAGACATTTTTGCTGTTGTTGTTGAAAAACATACTCGAATATGAGATCCGGTAAAAAAGGAAAAAGTTGCTCGAATTAATGAGCTTAATTGAGTATGTTACGAGTTGAAGAAGATTATGTTAGCTATACCAGTCTCCAAGTAGGGAAGCCCTGCTTGCCAAGAAAATCAGCGTCTGAAATCTCTCCTGCCTAGGCCCGAACATCGACCTTTGGTACCGGTAGAAACTATATTTCAGCCACGAAACAGGAGTGGGCGTGGTAGTTTTCTTATAAAAAATAACAAAAAAACATTTCTTTTTAAAACAGTTCATGTTTCATACCCTTGTTGGACATGCAGGTTGCGGAGGAAATTTTTATTACTTTTTTTGTTTGATGTACTTGTAAAAATCCCACAGCCAAACTGAAGTTCTACATCTGCAAGTTTGAACCTATTGATATGGGATTTCTTTTGGTTTTACACCGTCAGAGTCAAAAGTAGTAGTAATTTATATCACTTTTGAAAAGGACACATTTTTTTTTTTTACTTTATTGGTCTTGTTTTCTGTGGATTACCTATTTCCTTAACCTTTGTAATGCGAATTTCAGGTGTGTATGATGTTGATTTCAGATTTGTTTTGATTTTATGTTTTTGATTATGACAAACTAAGAGATCACGTTTTAAAAACTTAATACAAATGAAGTTACCAATACACGGGACACTCGTGTTTTAAATTAAGACAAGATGATTATTCATTAAAATTTAAAAAAAAAAAAAAAACGAAGCTTAAAGCTTAGAAATAAAGAAATTTATATTATTTCCTTTAACATGTTTAAATTGGCATTTCAGAAAATTGATTTTTCAAACTTGTGTTTAAAATAAATCGTTTTTCAATAAGTCTCATATGGCGAACCGCACGCCTTATTTACAAACTTAATGCAAACAATAAAAATAGTGATTTCAAAATAAATTATTGTTACAACCCTAAATTATAAAAGTAAAAACGTAGAAAATCATTTTTTTCTCTTTTTTTAACTTAGCCACAGGTTGTTTTCATGTCATATATGATCAAAGTCAAATACTTGAGTTATTGATTAGAAAAAGTGACTTTCTCTGATTTTTTTTTTTAGCTTTTTTAATTTTTAATTAATAATTTGTATGCGTGCACCGACAGAAAGTAAAAAAAAAAAGTTTAAAAACCTAACCAATAATGACAATGTAAATGTAAAAAAAAAAAACAAGACGAAAAAAAAAACAAATTAAAAAAGCTAATGCAGCTTTTTAAGCTAAATTTTTCTTCTTTATAATCCAGTAATTTATGTATTGTTACTTGAAAAAAGTTTTGATAATTGAAATTCGATTCCTTTAAACTCCTAACAATTTAACAAAGGAAGGGAACTATAATGAAATTAATTTTTAAAAAATCCCCCTTTTAAAATATCCTTTTTCTTTTTTTATTCCCTTGTTGCTAAAAAAAAAAACTTTAAATTAATTTCTGTAATTAATAAGAGAAAAAATTGAAACAATTTTGAAAAAAATCAATCAGTTTTTTGACAAACTTTCTGAAGAACTGAAATAAAAATTGTTTTGAATTTGATTTGTCAAGAATCATTTTTATTGAATTTCGCTACTGCAGAGTAATAATTTATTGTAAAAGACTTTTAATCTAAAAGTCTTTTAATTAATTATTACTCTGAAGTAGCGAAATTCTTTAAAATAAATTAAAATTTAATTCTGGTGATTACTAAGACTTGTTACTTTTTTTTTTAGTTTTCTAAATATCTGCAATTTTGTTTAAAAAAAAATATATATTTCATATGAAAGGTCAAAGGAGGACCCATTTACTTGCCGCTTAATAAATCAATAATAATTAACAATTAACATCTTGCAAGTAATTTTGTTATTTTTTTTAATTCACTTTCATCATGAAAGTTTCATGTCAAAGATATCTTACGATTCAAATCGAATATCGTTCCACAAACTGGCAAAAGTGAATTGAAAGATATTGGACAAATCGAGATAATTGAGGAAAAATTGAGTAACTTATAGACTAGTGGACCCCCTCTCCTTTTGCCCTTAGAACTGTCTCAGTCCTTGGCATGGATTCGACGATGAGGCACTCTTTTGAAATTTGTATCCATGACATTTCGCAATTCTTCTAGATTTGTTGGCTGTGCATCCAGGGTTCAAATCTTTCTAACCACATTCCAAAGGTGCTTTATGGGATTGAGCTAACACTAACAGTGTACTGTAGACCACTTAAAAAAAAAAAACTCCTGAGCGAACTTATCTGTCATTTTTTATTTGTGACATTGCTATGGTCGGCAGAGGATGGGCGCACCGTAGACATAGAGGCACGTGGTCAGTTACAATAGGTAGGCCGTGGCATTTAATGTCAATGTATGCCAATAAAATATTCTCCCACACTATTTACAGTACACCACCACTAGCCTGAACCGTTGATACAAGGGCAGGATGCGGTCCTCGTACGATCACCGAAGTTAAGCAACATCGATCCTAGCCAGTACCTAGATGGATGACTGCATGGGAATACCAGGTGCTGTAAGCTTGGATATGTGGGTAAAAATGTAACGGATAACGTCTCGGAATTGGAATTCGAAAAACTGGGTTCCAATTCCAGTCGGGTTCGTTATTCACTTAGGAGCAAATACGCCTGGGAAAGGTATGACTATGAATCCACCTATTCCCCATATCTATGGGTAAGGACTTGTAAGTAAATCATTCCCCTCAGATATTTTACTTACAATCTAAAAATATTATCTGACTTTAACCAGTAAATGGTTAATAAGCCGTAGACAACAGACCAATCAATCAAAATTCAAAATAAAGCAGGATTGATTCATATCTTCATGTTGTTTTATGCTAAAAAAACTTGTTCTCCTTCTATTCGATGTCGTAACTGAAATCGAAACTCACCAAATCGGGCAAGGTTTTGCCAATCTTCTGTTGTCCAACTATATTGTGATCCTTAGCGAATTGTAGCCTCAATTTCTTGTTCTTATCTGACAGGAGTGACACGGTCTTCGGCTGCTGTAACACATCCGCATCCAAGGCTCGACATATTTCGAGTTCAGAGATGCTCTCAGATGGTATTTATCAATCCACCCACGGGGATCGAATGTGGCACAAGGCCTTTTTAATGTGGGTATCTCTGAGCCCGTAGGCCCAGCCAAAAATAAATAACCATCCAAACCCGCCGAGGCGGGCCAGTTCCGTCAACCTCCCTCAACGAAACCCTACCCTTCGGCGGAGCCTCGTCCGGGTTCCTCTCTGCAAGCAGAGAGTTCGGCAGCTCACAAAGCGCAGATTACACTTTGATCTCAGCCACCGGGCCGAGCGGGTATTCTTTTTATGCTCTCAGATTGTATCTCTGTTGTAAAGAGTGATTATTTGAGCTATTGTTGCTTTTTTGAACCAGTCTGGCCATTCTCCTCTGATCTCTTTAATCAACAAGGGATTTTCGGCTACAAGATTGCCACTAACTGATTTTTTTTTTTCTGATCATAAACTTTAAATCGTAGGGATGGTTGTACGTGAAAAAATCCTAGTAGATTAGCAATTTTGAAATACTCAGATTTGCTCGTCTGGCATCAACGACAATGCCGCGTTCAAAGTCCCTTCATTCAAGTTTATTTCTCGTAAATTCAGCAGGTACCCATGGCCTATTAAAGTGCTGCTGCGCCGTTAGAAATTTTAATTTTCATAAAAAAAGAAAGAGTATTTGTTCACGTGTACTTAGTTATGTAGAAAGTTAATATATGTTGTAGGGGGAAATGAAGTAATGAGAAAGTAAGTTTTTAATAAAGCATGGTAAACTTTTTTTTTTTTTTTTTTGCTTGATTAGATCAGAACGATTCTGAAAAAAATAAATTTCTAAAAGTCTGCTCACTCATGACAAAATTTCGCATTTTGTGGCATACATCATTTTACGATCGTTCAAGTTTCGAAAAAAAATTAGGCAATAATTAAGCATGCCTTAAAAAAAACAAAAAAAATCAAAGGTTGTTATCGATACCTAATGTCCGGGTGTTTATTTTGCGTGAGGGACAGTTAGTGACAATGGCACCGCCAACGCCTATGTATATTCACTATATATTTATATTAAAGGGACAGTAGACGTTAGCTAACAAATTTTTTTTTTACTCGTCACTACCTCTGTCCAGTTACTATTTCTTCATGGCTATTTATTAACTACTTCCTTACAAGATTACTTGATGTCTTTACAATTTAAACGCAGCCTTTTAATGCTTCTTAAAAAACTTTACACAGATCTGGGAAGCGTAAAAAGGTAACGTACGTAACTTAAAAAAATTTCAAGCGTTACAAACCAGGTTTTTTTTCTTATTTTAAATATCTGTTATTATATATATATATATATATATATATATATATATATATATATATATATATATATAGAATAGAATTTATGAAAACTTAACAGTAACACTAACAGTTATAAAGTGTAAAAAAAAAGTCCAAACACAAAGCAAGAAAGCAAACGATAGCTTTTGAGTTTTGATGTTTTTTGTTGTTTTACCAGGTGCTTGTTAAACTAAAAAACATTTTTCATTATTAAACAAAACTTCCATTCTCAGGAAAATCAATATTCTGTTTTTAAACTTTTTAGCTCCTTAAGACTTTAAGAGAAAAAAGTTATAAATTTTATAGCATCTTTTCTTTTCTGATCATAATTATTTGTACTGTCACACACACAAAAAAAAAAACAACAAAAAACACACTCATTCGCGCTTAGTTTTAACTTTTAATTATGAGAATTGTTGATAATTTTTGTTTTCTTTAGCAAATTTGTTTATTTCTCTGACAAACTAGTGTATATTATTTTATTTCTTTATTTAATTTGTGATGCTAGTCTTGAGGGGCATAATGGTTCATGGTTAACTCGTAAAGGCAAGGCTTGCTTTTTTTTTTTTATTTATTTTGTTTAAGGGCAACCAATTACTTTTATAGACTGTGATATCAACAAATAAGTAAAATAAAACTTTTTTTTTTTTTTTAGAAATAGCATACTCTGCTATTTATTTTCTGTTTTCTTGACAGTTAATTAATAAAAAATTCTCACGTGATCTATCAAACTCAAAGACACTTTTCTTGTGGAAAACATGAACAATGCTTTTCAATTTTTATCGACATTGTCGTGAATTTTTTTCTTTTTTTCTTTTTTTTTTCAAGGAGACCTGAAAAGGGAAAAGTTAAATTTGAATAAGGTATTCAATTGTAATCTCATTGTGGAAGAAGAGGGAATTTAAAAAAAAAATTCGATGAAGTATTTTATTTATCATTGTCCAAAAATAAAGTAAAAAAAAATTAAAATAAATAATTACTTCAGTTCTCCATTCATATCAGTTTTTTACTTTTTAAAAGTTTTTTTTTTCCTTCCTTGGGCCATACAGGGTCAACTCAAATTATTTCTAAAATTTTAATCTTGAGAAAATCGTGATAAGTTCAAAAACTCAAAAATTTTATATGCTATTATTCTTCAAACAAAACATTTATTTATTTATTTATTTATTTTAGTCATTTTTACAAAATAATGTCGATAGTAGTTTATATTCCAACTGAATTTCTTGGTTTAAAAGTTAAAAAACACATTCTTATCATAAGAAGAGTCATTTACTTTTTTTTTTATATCTCTGTATTAAAAAATAAAAATGTATAATAATATTTGTTTATTTTTGCTTCGATCAATTAAAAAATTGATCGAAGCAAAAATAAACAAATAAAAATGACAAAAATGTGGAAACATTCATAGATTGCTAAGAACATTTTTTTTTACTTGAAAAAATAAGATGAATGTTTAATTAATTAATTAATTAATATCTTTGTTTTCATTAGTGATGGTTTTGTTTACATGCTTCGAAATGTGAAAACATAATCAACAATTTGTTTTTATTCTGTCATCCTCTTTAATTTATTAAAAACAAGAAGGAAAGAAACCTTAGCTATTATTCAGAAATGTATGTTTGCTTTTTATTCAATCAACTGGTTTAAATTAAATATCAGTCTTCAAAAAAAAATGAATGAACAGATAATGAATAGTGACCACCATCACGAGTGTTTTTTCTTAAGAACGGTTCGGTTTGATTTAAAATCAAGTAACGCATATGGAAAACAAACAAATTAACTTTGTTGAGCGTTAAATTTTTTAAAAATTGTACTAAGTAATATAATGAAGATTTTAAATGAAATCTTAATTGTACTAAATGAAGATGTTTTAACTGAAATTTCGTTTTCGTACAAACTTTTACGGTACTGAAACCACTTCAAATAGCAGGGACAATAAAACTTCGTTTGATCTTGCACTAGAATTGAATCACTAGAATTGTATCATTATTTTTTACCGTTTTTTACCTAAAATAAAATCTCGAGAAGCACATTTTTTTTTTTTTTACACTCTTTGATGGTTTTCTGGGACCAGAGATTAAATGTATAGAAATATAAAATTTACATTTCTGTTAAGTTTTAAGTTCAACCTTTGGTTTTTGTCTTATTGTACCTTTTAGAAAATTTTCAGTCGAGGTTCAGTTTTAATGAGCTCATAAAACCTTGTAAAATATTATAAAACTAACCAGGTTTAAAAAAAAAAAAATCTCGATGTTAATGATAATATTTTTTAAAAAATTTTGTGAGTGTTTAATTTCCCTTTTTTCTATTTTGTAATTAATAATCTGTTATTGATTTTACGACACATCAACTCTCGCTAAAATGTCGAATTTTGTATGAGGCAATCAGTGAATATCTAACTCGCTACTCAGAATAACATCGCTAAATATTACCCCACGACTAAGCTTAGTCGTTATGAAATACGTTCCATGGTAAGCGGGTTAGTTTAACACTAAATAATAACACTAATTAATTTTATATAATTTAACACTAATATAATAATATTAGTTTTAAAACTAATGTTTAGTATTGTATTATAAATTATAAAACTTTTATAATTTATAACACTAATAATATTAATATCAGTTAATCTTTATTTCTCTCTCACAATTTGAAGTAAAATATGAAAGGAAAAATATCAATATTTTAAAATACAGAATAAATTAACTTTTAAGATCTTTAAAAAGCTTTTATAACATTCTTCATTTGTTTCTATGTAAAGAATCCTTCTTTATTGCTAATAATCCTAAAAGCTTTGGGCTTTAGAATGTAGCACTTTCATGAAACTAAATTAGTATTAAGGTGTTAGACTAGAAACATTTATTTAAGTATATATTGATGTTAAGAAAATAATTTGTTGGAATTTTTGAGATGAGAATTTTCTTATTTTTAATCAATTCACCCCAAGCAAAAGGCAATTATGCTACTAAGGCACAAGGGGCTACTGGGAATGAAAGAGAATGAGAAGACTTTAGAAGGAACAGGAAACAAGGGATAAACCTCTATTCCTCTTCAAAAGACCAAAGAGGAGTATGAACATAATCTTTATTACATGCTTTTTACAATTAGACTCACAATGTTTTATATATTGTATCCTCCAGCTTTCTTCAGCTGTCTGTTGCACTCGGTAACCTTTTATAGATTT